ACCATACTGCCAGCTAAACACATGCATCATGCATGCACGCACCTTATTGAGGGGCCATGCGTTGTCAAACTGGAAGAGAGGGGGCAGCTGGCAGATGGAGAGCACTCCGAGAGAGGAGATGAGGCGTACTGACCACCATACTGCCAGCTAAACACATGCATCATGCATGCACGCACCTTATTGAGGGGCCATGCGTTGTCAAACTGGAAGAGAGGGGGCAGCTGGCAGATGGAGAGCACTCCGAGAGAGGAGATGAGGCGTACTGACCACCATACTGCCAGCTAAACACATGCATCATGCATGCACGCACCTTATTGAGGGGCCATGCGTTGTCAAACTGGAAGAGAGGGGGCAGCTGGCAGATGGAGAGCACTCCGAGAGAGGAGATGAGGCGTACTGACCACCATACTGCCAGCTAAACACATGCATCATGCATGCACGCACCTTATTGAGGGGCCATGCGTTGTCAAACTGGAAGAGAGGGGGCAGCTGGCAGATGGAGAGCACTCCGAGAGAGGAGATGAGGCGTACTGACCACCATACTGCCAGCTAAACACATGCATCATGCATGCACGCACCTTATTGAGGGGCCATGCGTTGTCAAACTGGAAGAGAGGGGGCAGCTGGCAGATGGAGAGCACTCCGAGAGAGGAGATGAGGCGTACTGACCACCATACTGCCAGCTAAACACATGCATCATGCATGCACGCACCTTATTGAGGGGCCATGCGTTGTCAAACTGGAAGAGAGGGGGCAGCTGGCAGATGGAGAGCACTCCGAGAGAGGAGATGAGGCGTACTGACCACCATACTGCCAGCTAAACACATGCATCATGCATGCACGCACCTTATTGAGGGGCCATGCGTTGTCAAACTGGAAGAGAGGGGGCAGCTGGCAGATGGAGAGCACTCCGAGAGAGGAGATGAGGCGTACTGACCACCATACTGCCAGCTAAACACATGCATCATGCATGCACGCACCTTATTGAGGGGCCATGCGTTGTCAAACTGGAAGAGAGGGGGCAGCTGGCAGATGGAGAGCACTCCGAGAGAGGAGATGAGGCGTACTGACCACCATACTGCCAGCTAAACACATGCATCATGCATGCACGCACCTTATTGAGGGGCCATGCGTTGTCAAACTGGAAGAGAGGGGGCAGCTGGCAGATGGAGAGCACTCCGAGAGAGGAGATGAGGCGTACTGACCACCATACTGCCAGCTAAACACATGCATCATGCATGCACGCACCTTATTGAGGGGCCATGCGTTGTCAAACTGGAAGAGAGGGGGCAGCTGGCAGATGGAGAGCACTCCGAGAGAGGAGATGAGGCGTACTGACCACCATACTGCCAGCTAAACACATGCATCATGCATGCACGCACCTTATTGAGGGGCCATGCGTTGTCAAACTGGAAGAGAGGGGGCAGCTGGCAGATGGAGAGCACTCCGAGAGAGGAGATGAGGCGTACTGACCACCATACTGCCAGCTAAACACATGCATCATGCATGCACGCACCTTATTGAGGGGCCATGCGTTGTCAAACTGGAAGAGAGGGGGCAGCTGGCAGATGGAGAGCACTCCGAGAGAGGAGATGAGGCGTACTGACCACCATACTGCCAGCTAAACACATGCATCATGCATGCACGCACCTTATTGAGGGGCCATGCGTTGTCAAACTGGAAGAGAGGGGGCAGCTGGCAGATGGAGAGCACTCCGAGAGAGGAGATGAGGCGTACTGACCACCATACTGCCAGCTAAACACATGCATCATGCATGCACGCACCTTATTGAGGGGCCATGCGTTGTCAAACTGGAAGAGAGGGGGCAGCTGGCAGATGGAGAGCACTCCGAGAGAGGAGATGAGGCGTACTGACCACCATACTGCCAGCTAAACACATGCATCATGCATGCACGCACCTTATTGAGGGGCCATGCGTTGTCAAACTGGAAGAGAGGGGGCAGCTGGCAGATGGAGAGCACTCCGAGAGAGGAGATGAGGCGTACTGACCACCATACTGCCAGCTAAACACATGCATCATGCATGCACGCACCTTATTGAGGGGCCATGCGTTGTCAAACTGGAAGAGAGGGGGCAGCTGGCAGATGGAGAGCACTCCGAGAGAGGAGATGAGGCGTACTGACCACCATACTGCCAGCTAAACACATGCATCATGCATGCACGCACCTTATTGAGGGGCCATGCGTTGTCAAACTGGAAGAGAGGGGGCAGCTGGCAGATGGAGAGCACTCCGAGAGAGGAGATGAGGCGTACTGACCACCATACTGCCAGCTAAACACATGCATCATGCATGCACGCACCTTATTGAGGGGCCATGCGTTGTCAAACTGGAAGAGAGGGGGCAGCTGGCAGATGGAGAGCACTCCGAGAGAGGAGATGAGGCGTACTGACCACCATACTGCCAGCTAAACACATGCATCATGCATGCACGCACCTTATTGAGGGGCCATGCGTTGTCAAACTGGAAGAGAGGGGGCAGCTGGCAGATGGAGAGCACTCCGAGAGAGGAGATGAGGCGTACTGACCACCATACTGCCAGCTAAACACATGCATCATGCATGCACGCACCTTATTGAGGGGCCATGCGTTGTCAAACTGGAAGAGAGGGGGCAGCTGGCAGATGGAGAGCACTCCGAGAGAGGAGATGAGGCGTACTGACCACCATACTGCCAGCTAAACACATGCATCATGCATGCACGCACCTTATTGAGGGGCCATGCGTTGTCAAACTGGAAGAGAGGGGGCAGCTGGCAGATGGAGAGCACTCCGAGAGAGGAGATGAGGCGTACTGACCACCATACTGCCAGCTAAACACATGCATCATGCATGCACGCACCTTATTGAGGGGCCATGCGTTGTCAAACTGGAAGAGAGGGGGCAGCTGGCAGATGGAGAGCACTCCGAGAGAGGAGATGAGGCGTACTGACCACCATACTGCCAGCTAAACACATGCATCATGCATGCACGCACCTTATTGAGGGGCCATGCGTTGTCAAACTGGAAGAGAGGGGGCAGCTGGCAGATGGAGAGCACTCCGAGAGAGGAGATGAGGCGTACTGACCACCATACTGCCAGCTAAACACATGCATCATGCATGCACGCACCTTATTGAGGGGCCATGCGTTGTCAAACTGGAAGAGAGGGGGCAGCTGGCAGATGGAGAGCACTCCGAGAGAGGAGATGAGGCGTACTGACCACCATACTGCCAGCTAAACACATGCATCATGCATGCACGCACCTTATTGAGGGGCCATGCGTTGTCAAACTGGAAGAGAGGGGGCAGCTGGCAGATGGAGAGCACTCCGAGAGAGGAGATGAGGCGTACTGACCACCATACTGCCAGCTAAACACATGCATCATGCATGCACGCACCTTATTGAGGGGCCATGCGTTGTCAAACTGGAAGAGAGGGGGCAGCTGGCAGATGGAGAGCACTCCGAGAGAGGAGATGAGGCGTACTGACCACCATACTGCCAGCTAAACACATGCATCATGCATGCACGCACCTTATTGAGGGGCCATGCGTTGTCAAACTGGAAGAGAGGGGGCAGCTGGCAGATGGAGAGCACTCCGAGAGAGGAGATGAGGCGTACTGACCACCATACTGCCAGCTAAACACATGCATCATGCATGCACGCACCTTATTGAGGGGCCATGCGTTGTCAAACTGGAAGAGAGGGGGCAGCTGGCAGATGGAGAGCACTCCGAGAGAGGAGATGAGGCGTACTGACCACCATACTGCCAGCTAAACACATGCATCATGCATGCACGCACCTTATTGAGGGGCCATGCGTTGTCAAACTGGAAGAGAGGGGGCAGCTGGCAGATGGAGAGCACTCCGAGAGAGGAGATGAGGCGTACTGACCACCATACTGCCAGCTAAACACATGCATCATGCATGCACGCACCTTATTGAGGGGCCATGCGTTGTCAAACTGGAAGAGAGGGGGCAGCTGGCAGATGGAGAGCACTCCGAGAGAGGAGATGAGGCGTACTGACCACCATACTGCCAGCTAAACACATGCATCATGCATGCACGCACCTTATTGAGGGGCCATGCGTTGTCAAACTGGAAGAGAGGGGGCAGCTGGCAGATGGAGAGCACTCCGAGAGAGGAGATGAGGCGTACTGACCACCATACTGCCAGCTAAACACATGCATCATGCATGCACGCACCTTATTGAGGGGCCATGCGTTGTCAAACTGGAAGAGAGGGGGCAGCTGGCAGATGGAGAGCACTCCGAGAGAGGAGATGAGGCGTACTGACCACCATACTGCCAGCTAAACACATGCATCATGCATGCACGCACCTTATTGAGGGGCCATGCGTTGTCAAACTGGAAGAGAGGGGGCAGCTGGCAGATGGAGAGCACTCCGAGAGAGGAGATGAGGCGTACTGACCACCATACTGCCAGCTAAACACATGCATCATGCATGCACGCACCTTATTGAGGGGCCATGCGTTGTCAAACTGGAAGAGAGGGGGCAGCTGGCAGATGGAGAGCACTCCGAGAGAGGAGATGAGGCGTACTGACCACCATACTGCCAGCTAAACACATGCATCATGCATGCACGCACCTTATTGAGGGGCCATGCGTTGTCAAACTGGAAGAGAGGGGGCAGCTGGCAGATGGAGAGCACTCCGAGAGAGGAGATGAGGCGTACTGACCACCATACTGCCAGCTAAACACATGCATCATGCATGCACGCACCTTATTGAGGGGCCATGCGTTGTCAAACTGGAAGAGAGGGGGCAGCTGGCAGATGGAGAGCACTCCGAGAGAGGAGATGAGGCGTACTGACCACCATACTGCCAGCTAAACACATGCATCATGCATGCACGCACCTTATTGAGGGGCCATGCGTTGTCAAACTGGAAGAGAGGGGGCAGCTGGCAGATGGAGAGCACTCCGAGAGAGGAGATGAGGCGTACTGACCACCATACTGCCAGCTAAACACATGCATCATGCATGCACGCACCTTATTGAGGGGCCATGCGTTGTCAAACTGGAAGAGAGGGGGCAGCTGGCAGATGGAGAGCACTCCGAGAGAGGAGATGAGGAGGAAGCCGTGCGTACAGTTGACGTTGTGGAAGGGCGCCATTGCCACCACGCTCGATGCTGCCTCTGTGGCCTGTGTTTGGGCAGGCGGGCATATGTGGTATGTGTGTTCTTTAGGCGCCTCAAAAATAGACTCTGTGGGATGTGTGGGATGATCTAGAGGTGTTGGGAAGGGACGAATTTCGGGAATCTTTCACTGTTTGCTTGTTTTGTGTGATCTCGTGTGTTTTTCGCCTCGGCAGCATGCTCAAAGGCACGAAAACCAAAGCATAGCATGCATGGCACGTGTGACTCAGCATGGCACGTGTGACTCAGCATGGCACGCGTGACTCAGCATGGCACGTGTGACTCAGCATGGCACGTGTGACTCAGCATGGCACGTGTGACTCAGCATGGCACACAAGACTCAGCATGGCACGTGTGACTCAGCATGGCACACAAGACTCAGCATGGCACACAAGACTCAGCATGGCATGCGTGACTCAGCATGGCACACAAGACTCAGCATGGCACGCGTGACTCAGCATGGCACGTGTGACTCAGCATGGCACGGGTGACTCAGCATGGCACGTGTGACTCAGCATGGCACGTGTGACTCAGCATGGCACGTGTGACTCAGCATGGCACGCGTGACACACCACAGCATGCATGACTCAGACTCACCACGGGGTGCACCCACACTCTGTCGCGCAGCAGCATCAGCCATCTCGGCCTGCTCCCAGCCACAAACACACCGCCGATGCCACCACCACCGTCACCAACACCTCCCTTACCCCTCCCACCCACACCCCCTCCTCCGCCCCCTCCCCCACTCCCCTCCAGCCCCACCCCTTGAAACGGGAACAGCATTTTCTTTCTCGCTCTCCCAGCCCTCCTGCTCCTCTCCGCACCCCCCTCTCCCTGCGCCTTCTCTTCTGCTGCAGTATCACCTCCCCCACTTTCACCTCCCCCACTCTCACCTTCCCCCTTCTCACCTCCCTCCTGCTTCACCCTGCCCTCTTCCCCTCCTCCCCCACCACCAGCACCTGCCCCTGCCCCCACCGCCCCCTCCCCTTTCCCCTCCTCATCTTCCTCCCCCCCCTCCACCTCATGAATTCCGGCCTCTTCCTCCTCTAAACAAACCCTCTGAAACCGCAATCCACCTACCTCAAATCCACCCAACCCTAATGAACCTACCCCAATGCTACCTACCCTTCCTCCAGGTTCCCCCTCCCCGACCCCCTGCCCTCCTCCTCCCCCTGCTCGCCCTCCCGCCCTTGCACCACGCTCCCCCGTTACTGACACACTCGCTGCAATCACATCTGCAGGCGATGCTCCCGAGGGGCAGAACGCTCTGAACCCCAGCAACCGCCCGTCTGAAAGCACAACAAACAAAAACAACCGCCCGGTGACGGGGTTGACGGATACGTGCAGATCCACAACAAACTGCTTCGGCCAATCAGGCGCTGACATGTGTGCTGAGGTGGCAACTGGTGCAGGCGTGTGCACTGTCATTGCCCTTTCTGCTCCATCAAACTCTGTTTTCTGTGATGCTACTGACTCTTTCACCTCTTCCTTCACCTTCCCCTCCTCTGCTTTCAAACCCTCGCCCTGAACCCCACCAATGCCAGCACCACTGCCACCATCCATCTCAACATCTACCTCCTTCCCCTCCTCCCTCCCCTCATTTTTCCCTTCCTCCTTCCCCTCCCCATCCGTCCCCTCCTCTTTTAACACCATCTCCTCATCTCCTTTCACCCCTGTTTTGCCGGGCCCCTTCTTCCCCACTGCATCCTTCTCAGCATTCCCAGGATTTATATCCACCTCCATTGCTTCACTCCCTGCTGTAGCGGCGGCTGTATCGGCGGCTGTAGCTGCTCTTGTCGCTACTGCTGCTGCAGCAGATCCTGCTGTGGGAGCAGTTTTCTCTCCTTCTCTGCCTGCCTCTGCTGCATCTGTAGCAGCAGCAACAACAGCCACAGCAGCAGCGGCTGCAGCAGGAGTGTGCTTCAAGAGAGTGTGACTATCCGCAAGGCCCAGGGAGGAGAACACACAGCGGAGAGAGGGGAGCAGGTACAACTGGAGCAGGCCGGATCTACGAGCCACCGCACACAGGGGAACAGGAGGAGAAGGAGGAGGAGCAGCAGTAGAGGAGGGAGATCCTTTGCTGCTGCTGTTACCACCGCTGCTCCCACCACTACTGCCAAGGGCACAAGCCAATGCACTGCCGGTGCTGCTTTTGCTGTTGTTAGTGGTTGTGGAGCTATGGGAATTGGATATGGCTGGCGAGGGGGAGAGGAGGAGAGAGTAGGTCGTGATAGGATCAGAGGAAGGAGAGGGGAGGTGGCATGCAATGGGCACCAGGGAGAGAGGCTTGGACGGATCTGCAGCGTGGGTGGAATGTTGGGAGAAAAAAAAAAAAAAAAAAAAAAAAAATCGTTAATTGCTTGTTTACCATCATGCACGCACAAAACAGGGAAAAACCAATTTCAGCATAGATGTACCAAGCATCCTTGGCACCACCATTCTTTGCAATGAACAAGAGCATTACCTGGTACAAGCATATTGGTGCGACTTTTGAGAATTCTCACTAGTCGCACCAAGAGCATTACCTGGTCCAAGTAGAATGAATCGGCCATCCACCAATCGCAGCATGACATATGGATCCGCCACGTCAGCAGACTCAATCTCCACGTCCTCTCCCCCCTCATTCCCCTCCTCCATCCCCTCCCCGCCCCCTTCCCCCGCCCCAGCCACCATGCCACGTGGCAGCATCTCCTGCAGCAGGCTGGCTGAGCTGGCGAGCAATCGGACGGCGGAGGGAGTGACTTGGAGGATGCAGCGGCGCGAGAAGAGATTGGCGGCCAGGAGGGTGGGCGCGTCTGTGATGAAACTGACTTCCGCTGATACTTCCCGAAGCAGCTCACCAGTTTCCAGCACCTGAGCGGAGGAGGGATGCAGGAGGGGGGGATGGGCCAGGAGGGAGAAGAGATTGGCAGCCAGGAGGGTGGGTGCATTGGTGATGAAACTCACTTCTGCTGATACCTCCCTAAGCAGCTCTCCTGTTTCCAGCACCTGTGGGAAGGAGGGGAGGATGGGGCAGGAGGGTCAGGAGGGTCAGGAGGGAGAAGAGATTGGCAGCCAGGAGGGTGGGCGCGTCGGTGATGAAACTGACTTCCGCTGATACCTCTCGAAGCAGCTCACCAGTTTCTAGCACCTGAAAGGCGGAGACACGGGGGAGTGGCAAACAGGGTGCTTTGTCACTTCATATGCATGTCTTCTGCTTCAATGCTTGACTGAAGAGGTTGGAGGCCAGGAGCGTGGGCGCGTCGGTGATAAAACTCACTTCTGCTGTCACCCGCCGAAGCAGCTTCCCTGAAGAGAGGGGGAGGGGGTGGGAGGGGGCGTGAGGGAGCGTGAGGGGGGACAATGAGGGTTTATGGAGAAGGAAAGAAGGTGAATTGATGGAACGGAAGTGATTCTAGCAAGACAGCAACCACTGACAGGAAGGAGTGTGGGAAGTCATCTACATGCTACATCCATCTCCCTTCTCACCATGCTTTGGCCTTCAAACGGCAGCACAAGAAACCCATGGTACTTGCCCCCTCTATCTCCCTTCCCCCTCTCTCCACCACCACCACCACCACCACCCCACCCCCACCAAGCCCACGTGTTTTGAGGTAACTCAAGACTCACCATGCTTTGCCCTTCAAATGCCAGAACAAGGAACCCATGGTAACTGCCTCCTCTATCTCCCTTCCCCCCTTCTCCACCTCCTACCCCACTCCCTCCCTCCACCTCCATAGCACCTGCTCCACACCCCTCCTCACCGCCCTCAACCCCTCCTATACCTCCCTTTCCTGCTCCCTCCCCCTCTACGGCTGTCCCTCCTGCCTGGCCTGCTGCTGCCTGCCCATCTTCTCCTCCCTCCCTTGCTTCAGAAGGAAGCTCAGAGCCATAGACAGTCCACAGGCCGCAGCAGCCAGGCAGATCCTCCTGTGATGGTGAAGGGACGAAGGGAGGAACGGAAGGCACGAGTTGTAATGGGCACAGGCACAAGGCAAGGCACTTTTGAAAAAACAGGTGAGCAATTTTTTATAACTCTAAACAATCGCTTTAGAAATAGAGTTAAGAGAAAGCTTCGGAAAGGTTACAGCAGCCATCACCAAACATGCTGGTTGGTATGGTAATGAGAGGAAGCTCCCACCGATACATATATATATATATATATAATATATATATAAGGTTTTAATCACTGTGAGAGGACGCTCCTGCCATCGTGGAGTGGCAGAACCTGTGAGCACGTCTAGTGGTACTCGCTGCAGCAGCAGCAACAGAGCGCCATATTGAGATCACTCTTTAAAAACTCAACCCCAGCAGCACCATGCAGTACCTGTGTTAGCACGTCCAGTGGCACTCGCTGCAGCAGCACCGACAGAGCGCCATTCTTCCCATGCCCACTGCACGCCACTAGCATCTGCTGCTGCTGCTGCTGCTGTTCCTTCTGGGGAGTGGGCGCGGGGAACGCTGGGACGGGCACAAGGTCTCGGATGGGACCGATGTTGAGCAGCGAGTCGCACACTCGGAAGGAGAAGCCCTCCTGCCCCTGCTCCTCCTCCTCCACACCCGCACCAGTGACAGCAGCATCAGCAGCAGCAGCAGCAGTGCCATCACCATCAGAGGCTTCGTCTGCTTTCAAGCGCTTGGCACCTCGCTGCTTTTCCTGGAATGATCACGCATGGGAAGGAAGGGAAGTGGAGACTGATGACTGTGGGGAAGGCTGGGACGGGCACGAGGTCTCGGATGGGGCCGATGTTGAGCAGCGAGTCGCACACACGGAAGGAGAAGCCCTCCTGCCCCTGCTCCTCCTCCTCCTCCGCACCAGCAGCTGCATCAGCAGGAGCTGCAGGAACAGCTGCAGCAGTGCCTTCGCCATCAGAGGCTTCGTCTGCTTTCAAGCGCTTGGCCCCTCGCTGCTTCTCCTGGAATAATCACGCGTGGGCACAGATAGGAGGGATGGAAAGTGGGGAAGGAGGGGGGAGGCGGAGTGGAGGCGAAGAGCAAGGGGAAACGAGGGGATGAAAGGGGGAGACGAAGGGAGGTGCGAATGGTGGAGGCAGAGGGGAAAGATATCGAGTTTGTGGGGAGTTTGTGGGGTGAATTGAATCACGTGCAAATTAGTGGAAGAAGGACAAGTCAGGAGCAAAGCCAGGGGCAAAGATGCAACACTATGTGTGAGATATTGGAAATCAACTACCGCTCACATGGCATAGTGATGTTCACTGTTGTTCAAAGTATATGTAACCCCGTACTTGCTGCATGTTATGAGGCTAAATGCCATGAGCCAGAATCGTGTTGCCACTTCTCCCATCACGCATCGCCTCTCTCTCACCCCCATCCCGTGCATGTTCCTCTACACGTGTTTAGCACGATGTGCTTCTCTCCATCCACCGTGACACCATTGATAGTGTGCGTGAAACTTTCTCATGACCCTTAAATCATGGAACCTATCCCTTCTTCGATGCTTTCACACTACCCAGGCAGATACTGAGGGGAAACGTGTTTATCTGCGCACGTACAAGGTGTTTCACATGGCTGCCAGCACCTCGAGGCGCAGCGCATCCGACCAATTTGCGATCTACAACGCATCGTTGGGTGGACGGTTGGATACGCTAGAGGCCGTCGTGACTTACCAGTCCGTGCTCATTGGCTCGGTAGCGAATGAGCATGCTGTCGCCGAGCCTGCTGGCCACGAACAGCAAGTTCGGGCCGAGGCTGAGGATGCCCGAAGCCTGCACGGTGGCCCGAACCTGCAGTAGGTCCAAGCGGAATGTAGTCGCTCTGTGGCATAAGGTGGGGAGGATGGGGGTGTGGGGTGACGGGGGGCGGAGGTGTTGGGGAAAAAGGGCTCAACAGCCTGATGATGACTGATAGCTGCCTGCCTGCACGGTGGCCCGAACCTGCTTGACAGCAGGTCCAAGCGGAAGGTAGTCGCCCTGTGGAATAGGGTTGGGTTGGGGAGGGGGGGGTGCAGTGAAGTGAGTGGGGAACAGGTAAGCTCAATACAAGGCACGAACATGCAGCATGCTCAAACAGAAGAAGGTGGGTGGGGCGGTGTGGAGGAGGGTGGAAATGTTTTGAGGGAGGAAAGGGTGAGAGGGTGGAACTGGAAACCGCTCATTTGCGTGGAACATCCTCAATGTGGGATTCGTGATTAAAAGGGTTGATAAACAGTCTGATGCGTTTCTGTATGAGCACTAGCCTGCTCGAGCCGTGGCACAGACCTGTATTGAGACCTGGACAGGAAGATGGCTCGGTTGGCCTGACGTGTTGTATAGTGGGCGGATGGAGAGACGCAGAGGGAGCAAGCGGAAAGCACAGCCGCTTTCCACTCTCTTGCAAGCATGACAATGTACAGAATCTGGGATAGGTAGGTCTGTCCTTTCTTTGACTCCCCTACCTCCACTTGCCATGTCGCTAACCTAAGCTTGACTCATCCCACGTCCTTACTTGGCCTCAGGAGTCACTTTCACCACCACCAGAGCGCCGCCTTTACTCGCAAGAAACGCAACAGCACTGCTGCTGCTGCTACCTCCGCCGCTGCTGCTGCTCCCACCAACCCCGACCGGCCCTCCACTTGGCCCAATCACAGGCTGCCACGTGGCATGGGCTGCTTCCAGCTCCACAGACAGCGGCGCCTGCCCCGGCTGCTGACGTGGACGGGGGATCTCGGTGCCATCTGGCAGGGCAGGTGGCGACGAATCGTTGAGCGCCAGGTGGCAGGTGGAGGAGGAGGAGCAGAAGTGGAGCGAATGGGGGGAGAGGACGAGCAGGCCTCCAGGGGGGAAGGGGGCGGGGGAGAGCGCGTAGGAGTCGAAGGGAAGATGCTGTAGGAAGGGTGGAGCGGGGAGGAGAGGGAGGGAAGTCTCGTACTTAAGATTCCTCGAGGAGCAGAAGTGGAGGGAGTGGGGAGGGAGGACGAGCAGGCCTCCAGGGGGGAAGGGGGCAGGGGAGAGCGTAAGAGTCGAAGGGGAGATGCTACAAGAAGGGTGGAGCGGGGGGGGAGAGGGAGGGGAGAGGTAGGGGAGAGGGAGGGGAGACGGAGGGGAGACGGAGGGGAGACGGAGGGGAGAGGGAGGGGAGGGGGAGGGGAGAGGGGAAGAGGTAGGGGGGAAATGGGCAGGGAACAGACGGTAGGAGTCGAAAGGAAGATGCTTCATGAAGGGTGGAGCGAGGGGGGAGAGGGGGGCAATGACCCTCGCAGAGAAAATCAGCTCACCTTGGTGGTCCCAAGAATGATGTGCGAGCGGGTGTGCAGGGACACTCGCAGAAAGGTGACAGCACAGGAGAAGCAGGCATCCAGCACAGCAGGGGGAACCCTCCACAATCCAGACCGGAGTAACGAAGCTCACCTTGGTGGTCCCTAGGATGAGGTGTGAGCGGGTGTGCAGAGACACTCTCAGGAATGTGACAGCACAGGAGAAGCGGGCTCCCAGCACAGCAGGGGACGAGCCCCCCAGCCTCCCCGCCCACGCGCTGCCCTCCTCCCACAGCACCGCCACTATGGGGTCTCCAGGCTCGGACAAGAAGACAAAATCCCGCACCTGGAGGTTCGGGAGGACGGGACGGGGGAGGCGAACGACTGAGCATACAGGAAAGACTTCTGAGGGGCCTTCGAAGGAGGTAAATGGAAGGCTAATAAGGCGGGCACATAGAAAGAGGCACTGGAAAAGTTTTCCTATCCCAAAAAGGTTTCCGCACAGCAAAGGAAGGAGCTACAGCAGATCCTTCGACTTGGGATTGCAAACCCTTACATTTTGTACGCAATATTGCAAGAAAACTATGCAGACTACCTACGACCTCGCATCCACCACAGCACTGCCGATTGTGGTCTGGTGTGGATTTCTTACATTGGAGATCCCAAGGGGCCGCAAGTCGATAGTGAACGAGCCGCCAAACCTAGGAGCTTCGCCTGTCGAGCCTGCGCGGAACGAGGAGGACCGGTCCAAGCCTCCTTTGAAGGAAGAGTTCTGGTCCAAAGAGGTTCGGTCCGAACCAGACTTGTTGAAAGAAGCCGAACGTTGGGCTGTGGGAGACATAATGGTGTCCGGTCCTGTCTCTGTGTTCCCTGGATGGATGTGACCTGTCTGGGTGTGACCTGGCTGCTTGCGAGTGAGAAAGTGCAGGTGGCAGCGGTACACCAGCACTGCTGAGCACCTGCCCGACCAATCAGAGCGCGCGATGGGCGGGAGCGGAAAGTTTTCTCTGCCCCGCTTCCGAGCCGTCCACTCAGGCCCTTCGAGGTAATGCAAGGAGCTGTTGGAATCACAGCGCAGGTGGGTGGGTGGATGGGTCGGTGGATGGATTGGTGGATGGATGGGTGGGTGAATGGATGGATGAATTGGTTGAGGCAAACGAGAAACAACCTGCTCTTAGAAAAAAATGCATGTTCTGCCATGACATGCCATGGCCACTGCCCAGTGCTCTGTGCCTCCACGCACTCATACCCGCGCATACCCCTCCACACACTCATACCCACGCACCTGACTTAAAGCCTCTGCACCGCATCATCAAACTCCACCACAGAAACCCTGGCTCGCTGGATCATGTGCCACGACATGCCTTGCCCGCTGCTCAGTGCAAGTACCCCCACACTCATACCCACACATACCCATGCATACCCATGCATACCCATGCATGCACCATCCGCACCTGACTTTAAGCCTCTGCACCGCATCGTCAAACTCCACCACGGACACTTTGGCATCTCGAAACGTCAGCACCAACGCATCCTTGCGTCCACCGCTGCCACTGCTGTTGTTTCCAATGCCACTAACAGTAGCTCCCTGCAATGGGTTCATGTCTCCTGTAATCCCACCACCACCACCATCTCTTCCTTCGCGCTTTCCCGACTGCCGTCCCCCCCTCCCTCTCCCTCCTCTCCCGCCCGCCTCCCCCCCTGCCGCCCCTCGCCCTACTCCTCTCCCCCCACCACCCACGGAGTTGGATCCACCTCCCCCAGTCCCCGCCCAGCCTGCTGCGTCAGCTGCTGCCGCGCCTGGCACGACCGCTATGCTCTCTACCACTCCGTTCAGCCTGGAACAAGAGGAAACGGGAGAAAAGGAGGTCAATTGGAAAGATAAGAAAGGGAGTTACTTTCTTAAGTCCGTTTTTATTCTTGCATTTACCCCCACCTGAACTCGCAGACAACATCCAGTGTTGCTCCAGGCAGAACGCTGCTTCCCGCTTCCCCTTCCACCCCCCCTCCTCCGCCTCTTAAGTTTGACTTACCATCACTTTCATTCTTGCATCCATTCCCACCTGAACTCGCAGACAGCATTCAGGGTTGCTCCGGGAAGTGACTTCCAAACTTGTCTTACCGTCTTGGGTATTCTTGAATGTACTCCCACCTGAACTCGCAGACAACATCCAGGGTTGCTCCAGGAAGAACGCTGCTTCCGGCATCTTTGTGACTTCCTCCGTCTTTCCCCGATTCCCCTTTCCGCTCCCCCGCCTCCGCATCCCCGCGCAACCCCTCGCTCCGCACTGAAAACACTTGCAGGACATTTCCGCGGCTGACGATCAGGTTCGGCAGAGGCTCGGCGGCCGCGGAGCGAGTAAGGAACCCGGACGCACAGCAGGTGACGCCGGTCGGCGGGTGGACGACTTTATAGGCCGCGTAACTCATGTCTGCTGTGAATGTTGACGGGTGAACTGCCGACGAGACGGCGTATCATGTAGCCTCCTGTTTCAGCGTGAAATGCGCGCTGATCGCGTGAATTTAGGTCAAAATCACTCCAGAAATCTACCAGTGTCGTGAACTGTGATGATCGGTCAGAACGGAGCAGGCTGTAGCCGCAATGCGATGACACTGACAGTGGCTTCGGTTTCCTGTGTGATTGCTGCAGTGGGCTCATGCTGCTTCGCGGAGTGATCAAACATGACTCTTTGAGCCAAAGACCGTTTCCAAATTTGGATGGACGAAGCATGCTCTGTAACGTATCATTGTTGAATTTATCATATACAGATTTGATTTAACTAGTGGGTAATTAGAGCGTATTCCTATCCTCGTATCAAGAGAACCTCATATCAAGATTGTACTTTTTGCCTGGTAAAACTAGCGAGAGATTTTAGGTTTAGGGGAATTTTCAGTGGGAAATTGATACGAGGTTCTCTTGATACGAGGATAGGAATACGCTCTTAGACTCACAACAAGAATGGCTAGCAAAAAACAGATAGCAGTCACACTCAGCAATTCACACCAAGAAAATACAGCATCAAATAATCCATAAGCAAAGTGCAGCTATTAAATAAGACGCCGATGGAGCGGGTGGAGAGCTTGCACAATCACAGCAACAGCCCATACCAGTGTCTGAACACTAGAGAATTCTGAGAGTCTTTAGTAGCCCTTGAGAGCGGACCTTAGGAGGGCTGACAGCTTCAGCAACCATTTCAGAGAGTGACCATATTCTCAGAGCTTGAGCGTGAGATCAACCTTAGGAGCTCCTCTTTGCTTCTTGAATTCATCCATCTCTCCACCTGCTGCGTCCACTCCATTGTCTGCCCCATTAGCAGCCTCAAATGCGAAACTCAATGCAACACCCTTCATCGGGACCCTCGCTGTTACTGAACGGAACCCTAGCGCGGATGCTTTGGACTTCGCGGAATTCTCAAGGCCCTTGGTTTCAGTTCGGTCGAGCAGCGTCCCAGTTCCCGCCAAAAGCTTCGCGGCTGCGTTGACAACTTCGGGGGGAGGCGCAGATCTGTGCGACCGGGGGACGGGCAGCCAAGCGGAAGCGGAACCACTTCCCGCGGAACCACTACCCGCTGCAGCAGGGGTTTCATCCCCGTGCTCCGCCACCACGCTCGAAGCTGCTGCAGCGGACTCTTTTTTCGGCTGACCCAGCGAGCGTTTCATCTGCCCGAGCATCCAATCGATGGCTGGGATAGCATCTGGAGAAGGGGACACTTCAGAAGTCAGCGACGATCGACAGGCAGTACCCGGAGAAGCAGCATCACCATCCTTCCCGCCGTTCTCCGCCCCAGCAGCAGCCGCCGCGGAGGGTTTCACAGCGCCGCTACTGCCCTGCTGTTCTTGAGCCTGTAACAAACCGCCGTCGTTAGCGGCGCCGCCAGTTGCGCCGTTTGCGAAGGACACCGCGGGTTTCAGAGCGGAAGTTTGAGGCAAGCTCGCGGACGGCGCGCGTAGCGTGCTCTCGAGCGGTTTGACCAAGGAGAAGATATTATAACCGTGAACAGGGATACCAAGGACAGGAGGCGGCGCGCTCCCCGCCGTTGCGTTAAGAGGCGTAGCTGCTGCGAACATTTGCGACTGCATGATTTGAGCCTGTTGTTGCTGCAGCTGCAGCTGTTGGTGCTGCTGTTGCTGTTGGTGCTGCTGCTGCTGTTGCTGCTGCTGCGCTGCTTCGTACATGACCTGAGAAAACGATCCTAGCGACGAACACGGCCCAGCGGCGCCAGTGGCAGGCGCAACCATTGCCGCAGCCGCCGCAGCCGCGGCCGCCGCTGCCGCCGCAGCATAGGGACCACCGGAAAACATCGACGGGTGCATAGGCGTCGCGCTCAGACTCGCGCCGTACGGCATAGACACGTGCATGGGCGGAAACCCGGCGGAGGGGATAGAAGTGGCGGAGGCGGGCATACGCGGTAAAAGCTGTGGCATTTTCCGTTCGGAGACTGCAGGCTGGCTTGTGGTGAGGTTGGATTGGTCCGTAGTCGTGGCACCGCCAGTAACGCCTGTAGCCGTCTGTTCCAGCGGGTTACAAACCGCAGAGGTACCGCCGACGGGAGAGGCTGCGCCAATTGCGGCGGACGCAGTTCGTGCAGCTGCAGACGCGGTTTGCGATGCCGCTACCGCCGCCGCCGCTGCCGCCGCGGCTGCAGCGCGATCTTTTTTCGAAGGACGTCCTCTTTTCCGCGGTCGCAGCGCGAGAGCCGGGTTGCTCAATGCCTCTGACGCATTTTCGTTCAACCGCTTGCCCTTGCTGTCGGATCCGGTCGCGGCGGCGGCAGCAGCGGCGGAGGCGGAAGCTCCCGCTTCCATCAGCTGCGCCGCAGCGAGAGTGTTCGTCAGGCGGAACTGCGGAAACGTGAACATGGGCGGAGCAGGCTCGGCTCCGGGGAACGTGTAGCACGCGGAACCGTTGGGTGCGGGAGGCGGAAGCGCCTGGCAGTGGAATGGCGAGGAGGCCCACATGGGCGCGTGTGACTGCGCTTGCGCCGCCGCAGCAGCGGCTGCAGCCGCGGAAGCGGGCCAGGCGGAGGAGCCGTCCGGGGGGACGACGCTGCAGGAAGGGGTCATGGAGTGTTGCGCGGATAGCATGGGTTCGTGGTTGAGAGCGGAGACGAGAGACATGTATGCTGATGCGGTGGAGTACGGTCGCGGTAGGTAGGAGTAGGCTGGGTATGAACAGAATTTGGTGGAGGCGAATGCGGAGGCAAAATCCGACGAGCGATCTTTTTCCATGGCTCTAGAAAGAGCACAGGCAAGCGGAGGAAGCTCGATAGCTTACACCTGTACTGCTGCAGGAAGTAAGGGGTTTCGTCGGGTAAGTATTAGTGCTCTTTGATGCTAACGATCGCGCGGGCTAGGTGCACAACGATAGACAGGGTAGGGTATGCAACACTCTTGTTGTGGAACACCCTTGAAACATCTAGCGGCGGGAACTTGGAATAGATGAGAGCCTGCCTAACTGCCTGACTCTGAAACTCAATTGCTGGTTGGGTTGGTTGGATGTGAAGTAGATTGTGAAACGGACGAACAGGCAGAAAGTGTGTTGTTGGGTGGGATAGGGAGGGAGGGAAGGGTGTGAGAAGTGAACTGGAAGCACAAAACACAAGGCGTTCCAGCACAAGGGGAGTGAGGTTGAAAGGACAAAATCTGGTGGGGGGAATCGTGGGAAGGGCTGATGACGAGGCAGCACTTCACTGTATATACATCCGCACTGATGGACACATCCGAACTGAAGTAAAAAACTCTTCGCAATGTACCAGAACATAGCGGGATGTAGAGTTCATTCTATATACATCTACCGCTTCTCGAAATTATTCTTGTATTGTAGGTCACTGGTCCGTGGAATTTGTGCGCTGACGATAGTTTTGAGGAAAACAAATTGTTCTCCGTCAATGGGAACGCGGAAAATGTACAGGCGCGTGGAATCAGGAAGATGTTTGACGGGGGTTCAGCCGGTAGCGTAAATGTTTATACGCTGCCCCATTGTATCAGCAGCTAGCAGATCGATATGTACAGTACAGTGCAACCAAAGTGGAAAATGCGCGCTGAAAGCTCGTCAAACTTGCTACACCCTCTTTCGCGCCACATTGACAATCGGGAGAACTGGCTACAGTGCGTACGCGTTCTTGGACCCTAGCGGTCAGGTGCTTGCAATGAACCCCAGGTAGGTGGAGCGCAAATGCACTCCAAACGAACGGTACAAAACGGTTTATGAAAGCAAACTTGCGTTTGAGTACGGTTGAGTACGGCAAATGTGCTTATATGGTATGTTCTGGGACCATTCTGGACGCATTTATGTCAGTACAACCGGCTTGTCAATATGCCCAATGTCAGTGTGGCGCGAAAGAGGGTGTATGCAGTCCATGACAGGAAAACTCGAAATGGATGCACTGTCTGTCGATACACCCTCTTTCTCGCCAGACTAACAATGGGAAGCACTGGCTACAGTGCGTACTGTTGCTTGGACCCTAGCGATCTGGTGCTTCCAACGGAACCCCAGGTAGGTGACGGGCCAATCCACTCCAGAGAAACGGTACACAACGTTTTATGGAAGCAAACGTGCTTTTGCGTACGGTTGAGTACGGCAAATGTGTTTATATGGTATGTTCTGGGACCATTCTGGACACATTGATGTCAGTACAGCCGGTCCGTCGATATGGCCAATGACAGTGTGGCGCGAAAGAGGGTGTACACAGCCACAAGGATACGCCACTTGATGGCGCATGGCATGAATCTGCCACTGATTCTTGCACATCCCTTCTCATCTGAGGGCGTGGTGGCGAGCAAATGCAAGGACTCTCCTCTATGATGACGTGGACGAACTGCATAAAGACTGCTTTACACACGAGCTTTCAGATTGTAATCATATCCATAAACCCAGCAGATCTGAAGCATCCACCCACCACAATGCAGTTAGGCCATCCCATCCACCCCAGCCATCCACACTACCCCCACAGCGATTTTGGTGTATGAAATTGAGTGCCCGAAACAAAGATTCAGGGAAATAAGATTGAAGGAAGGGCAGCTAGCAAAGCCAAACGGACCGCTCCATCATTATCCATATCCTCTGGAAGGAGCTAGAACGTTTCGCAGAATCGAATGGCTGGACGCTCATCATTGCTGATATTCCAGCACCACACGGTTTTGCGAATGAAAGCTGAGAAACGCTGCAATTCCAACCAATAGCCTCGTGCCGCATCGGAAGATATCCTCAAAACAGGTACCCCACGTCAGCAGGGCATTCATTTGATAAAGACATATCCGAAGTTGCACAGCCGCGACACTAGGTGTACTTCGACTTGCTATTGCAAATATATTTTAAAAAACAGGAGGTCATTCTTTGCTGGTGCCTTTTCTGGTCTATGTAATATCTCGCTGCTACCCACCATTGATTTCCATTCTTCCACATTCATCCACTATGTATGAAGCAGAAGGCACAATCACATAAACATTCGCCAAAGAATGGTTGGGTTGGTTAGCGGAGGGACTGAACTGAAGCTATCTACTTGGTGACATCTGGGATCCTCATTCCAGGTCCTCGATTCCGATTGTCAAGACTGTTAGGGGATAGCACGAAAGTGGAATAGGTTTTAGAGACATCCCCCGGACTGGGAGGAACAGGGTGCGCGCAAAAATGTGTGTGTGTGTGTGTGTACATGTGAGCATCAAGTGTGAGGTGAAGAAAGCAAGAGAAAGAGGGCAGAGTAGTATATGCATAACAAAGGTGGACAAGAGTAGCGAAATGTATTTATTTCACAGAACCCATTGCTCCACTTACGATGGGGCGAGCTTCCCAAGGTTGACCAGGAACTTCCTATTAACTCCCGACACACTACAACGCAGTTCCACTCAGGCCCCCTCACATTCCCACCAGCACGTCACCCAACACATCCAAGGGACACACCCCCGCCGTCCACTTACGATGGCGCGAGCTTCCCAAGGTTGACCAGGAACTCCCCACTGAGACCGTCACACACACTCCCATTCGCCTCCACCCTACACTCCACCCCTCGCACATCACAACCCAAGAACAGGCATTCACACTCACGATGGCGCGAGCTTCCCAAGGATGACCAGGAACTCCCCACTGAGACCGTCACACACACTCCCTTTCGCCTCCACCCTACACTCCACCCCTCGCACATCACAACCCAAGAACAGGCATTCACACTCACGATGGCGCGAGCTTCCCAAGGTTGACCAGGAACTCCCCGCTGAGACTGTCAAACACATTCCCGTTCGCCTCCACTCGGTACGCCATGTTGTCTGTCAGCGGCAGCCCTCTCTTCACGAGTCTATCCAGGTCCTTGCGATGCAGCTCCCTCGCATTCACATACACCTTGGTGTCGCCTCCAGAGCAGGTTTTTGGGAGGGCGGGACCGAGCTCAATCCCAGGCTGTAGAGGGGTTAGGAGTGGTGGAGAGGGGGAGAAGGGAGAGAGCGTGTTAACGTGAATGTGTGTCAGCGGCAGCCCCCTCTTCACGTGTCTGTCCAGATCCTTGCGGTGCAGCTCCCTCGCATTCACATACACCTTGGTGTCGCCCCCAGAGCAGGTCTTTGGGAGGACAAGACCCAGGTCAAGGCCAGGCTGCAGAACGGTTAGGAGTGGTGGAGAGGGAGGAGAAGGAGGTGATCGTGTCTCACTGTTTCGTCGATGCCCCTGACTGCTACTGCATCAATCATAAAAAAAATAGCTGAATCTTTCACCTTACATTCGCTACTGCATCTGTCACCTTTACCTAAGAATCTGTCTCACAGGAGGTGCTCAATTATTGGTCTAAAATTCTTCTCAGATTCGCTTACCTGAACTAATAGAGAGCGTTTCCAGAGACAAATTCAAAGGAGCCTCAAGAATTATCACTATCTGAGGACTTGCATCAAAATTGGTTGGAGAATTTGTAGACATGTACAGTAGCAGCCAACTCACCGGGATCATCCCAAGGCAGGGCCCTCCCATTTGGCCCCAGAAACCTGCTACTTGGTCGTACCTGCAGGGGAGAGTTGGTGGCGCAGATGGGTGGGAGCACAGGGTAACAAAAAATGCAGAAATCGGAAAAAGGAACCGAGACTCAAATCAGAAGAAGGGTGTCGTGTCTTATCTCTAGTGCCTTGACAAGGAAGCCCTTCTTGTCACTAAACGCCAGCCAGAATGTCTTGGACTTAACATGACTTGACTGACCAGATTTTGACTTGACTCGGGGCGATATGGGACATAGCATCTCATTGACTCGCAATGCACACACGCTTACCAGTAGTTCCCAGGCTGGATGGGCCCCGCACGTTCCTCCGCAGCTGCCACGTGGTCATCACTGATTGGCTCCCCATTCACCACAACGCACCGCGAGTATGTCAACCTCCCATCCCCTCTCCCTACCCCAGCACCACCCCCCCCAGAACCCAACTTATTCCCCGTACTAGCCATCCCACCACCACCACCCGCAATACTCGTCCCAGAGCCCACTCGAACCATGCCACTTGCATTAGTCGCTCTGGCTTCACCCCCTCTGCTTGCAGCCTTTGCAGGAGAGGTCCTAGCAGGAGATTCACTACCAGAGGAATCCCTTACTGAGCCTACAGGGGACAGCATTCCAGGGCTGATGCTCCTAAGCGACTCAGAGCTCCCAACCCTTCCTATCCTTCCTTGACCATCTGTGCCTGCTGCCGAACCTGCTCCCGAACCTGCTCTCGGGCCTGTTGTCGAGCCTGTTCCCGACCTGCCAGGTCCCAAACCTGATTTGAGAGGTTTGGAGGGACTAGAATTGGTGCCCCTGCCGCTCCTTCCTCTGCCCGAACCTGCTGCAGCGGCAGCAGGCGTGGTTCCAGGGGCACCGCCAGACCCTTTAAAAGCAGACCCGTTAGTGGCAGCCCCAGGGCTTGGTACAATGGCAGTCCTGCCTTCATTGCAGTCAGTGGAAGCGGAGCGAGCGCAGAGGTACTGTTGCTGTTGCTTTGTGGCGTCGATAGCAGAGAAAGACGAGGAGCGGACATGCTGCTGAGAAACCTGCTGCTGCTGCTGCTGCTGCTGCGCCTGCTGCTGTGGCTGCTGCTGCTGCTGCTGCTGCTGCTGCTGCTGCTGCTGAAACGGCTGCAGCTGCTGCTGCAAGTGGGGCACGTGTGGGGTGAAGGCGCGAAACCGCGAGAGACCAATGCACTTGCCGCAGCGCAGCTTGTGCACGCCCTTCTTGGTGGGCGGGAGGACAGCCGGGATCTCAAGAAGCTGCCCGCAGTGCTGGCACTGAGAGATGACGGCAGGAGCATTGGCAGGAAAGGGGAAAAAGATGAAGAAAAAAAGGGCTTATTGAGACGTTCAAAGGGCTAGAAAGCACGAGAGAGAGATGCACTAGCCACAGCGCAGCTTGTGCACGCCCTTCTTGGTGGGCGGCAGCACGGCTGGGATCTCCAGAAGCTGCCCGCAGTGCTGGCACTGAGGGGAGGAGATGGGGGAACGGGCAGAAAAAAAAGGGCCGAGTGAACATGAGGAGGCGCAGGAACTGGCGACGAGAAAGGAGGACGTGGGGACAGAAAATGGTTGAGTGAGGGGTCGGTCGTACTGCAACCTCATTTCAATCATTCCGCGTTAATGTGGGATGAATGAGGGGTTGATCGTAACGGGCGAGGTGGAATGAGGAGGTCACAACAAAACTGTGGGATGAGGAGAGTGGCAGCAGGAAGGGATGGGACAGACGTTTTCTCCTGGAGAAAAGGCATCTCTTGACAAAAGGCAAATCAATGGTGCTGGTGGGGACCAAACAAGAATGTGTCTGTTTCTGTTCCGTTCTCGGCAGATTGCAAGCCGCTCTTATCATTTGGTGAGGCTTTGGTTTCAAAACGGTTTCCTTGGATCCAAGACATTTTTCTTCTTGAGCATTTGAACACCCAGTTCAAAGTAAACTCATGTCAAAGAGATCGCAGATATACGGCTTTTGAGGCGCCTCAGAAGCCGGCTGCAAATGCCATTTTCCTTTGCTAGCATGACCTTTGCTGACAAGCTCGAGGCTTACAGTAACGAGCTCGGATGAGCTTCCACCCACTTAGCTTCATGTTCTCCCTCCCATCCGCTTTCCCGAACAAACAAGTCCTTTTCGTTGCAAAAACAACCAAGGAGCTTATTTGTGCATCGTTTACCACCAAGTAAGCTTAGCATGTTCACTTCTTGACGCGGATTTGCTACCTCACTGCCTTGCATAACCTCTCCTCCAGGAAAAAGAAAAGACGAAAAGTAGAGATTTCACCAATCCCAGTCGATTCCAAACCATCCCAACCTATCCCCACGAATTCCCATAAAGCCCTCACCCATCCCAATTATCTCCCACCCAACCATCTCACCTGAAGAATCTGAGGACGTCAAAGAAAAAAAAATAGATACCCCATCAGCTTACCTGCACGACTTGAGGCAATCCCGGGGCTGGCAGCATGGGCAAATCCGCCGCCTCCCCCTCCCCTCGTTCCCCCTCTTCCCCAACCTGCGCCAACTGGGGAAACCCCGCATTGGTGGGGGAGAGCAATGGCCCCGCGCCAGAGATGTTCCCCCTAAGGGCGTTCCCCCCAGGGCTGCTTCCCCCGAGCCCCTCCATCCGCGGAATGGCGGACACGGTCCGCGCAGGTCGCCCAACTCCCCCTCCCCCTCCCCCCTTCAACCCCGAACCTGTTGACGAGCCTGTTCCCGGACCTGCCCTCGAGGCTGCACCTGTTGCCGAGCCTCGTGACTGAACTGGGGAGAACTGAGGAGCAGCAGCAGCCCTTAACCCCAAATGCTGCATCAACACTCTTCCACTACTATCCATAGTAGGAGTGGATACACCTTCCCCCGCCGCCCCTTGCACACTAAACAGCCTAGGATTTACAACCTCTTGACCCCCTAGGCTAAGACCACGCACACCGCCCCCCGCCCGCCCTCTATACCCCGTTGTAGTCACGGATTTGGTGAAATCTCCCGAGTTACCCTCACTCGCTGATGCCTCCCCACGGGGTTTCGGACTCTTCGCGCTGCCTGGTAACCCGTCGCCTTGTAACGCGGATTTCTGCAAGCTGGCGGGCAGGACCTGGCCGCTGATTGCTCGCCTTAGACCTTGTGACTGCGCTCCTGCTACCACCGCTCCCACTCCCGCTCCTGTTATCGCTCCCCCTCCTGCTACTGATCCCGCTCCTGTTACCGCTTTAACTCCTGCTGTTGCTCCTGTAATCTTTGCTCCTGTATTTCCTCCTCCTTCTTTCGCCGCAGCTGCTGCTGCTAGTGCCGCCACACCAACCGCTCCTCGTTGCTGCGGTGCCTGCGGCCGTCGTTGCTGCCCTTGTTGCGCGGAACTCTTTCGCGCGTCCATTTCACCGATCGTCACTGCCCGCGAAAACGTTTCGCCGGTTTCGCTGCTGATCTGCTGCCTGTTCGCGAGGCCGTTGTTACCACCGGGAGTGGCAGCACCGCCAGTCCCGGTACTAACAGACCCGAAAACAGCGGATCCAAAGGCAGCACCATTTCCAACGGCAGTGACGACGTTACCAGCGCTAGCGACGCCTCTGACGCTAACGCCGCTGCTCGCGCCAACGCCGCGGTTCGCACTAACGCCGCTGCCAGCGGTAGCGCCGCGACTGGGAACTGCAGTGCCATTAGAGGCCATGGCAAGGGCTTTAAGACCAATCGCGCTGACTGCCCCACGAGCGGGTTTGACGGGGGAGTTTTGGAACCTGGGCTTGCACCCCAGCGTCATGGACCGGCCAAACTTATCCGCCTCGTTTTCCGGCTCGTCTTCGTCTTCATCGTCATCGTCATCGTCATCGTCATCGTCATCGTCATCGTCGTCTTCGTCTCCGTCATCGTCATCGTCATCGTCATCATCAGAAACAAGTGCGGCTTGCTGCTTCTGCTGCTCCCTCTGAGGTTGCTGAGAGTGTGACTGCGGGCGCTGTGATCTTAGCGGGGAGATTCCGTCCTGCCCCCGCTGTAGGCCCAGCATGGACGGCGTGAATCCTTGATGCAGCGCGAGAGCAGTCTTTCCGTCTACAAGCGACACTGTGCGACTGATATGCGACGGTAGGTGCGACTGCTGCTGCGATTGTTGCTGCGACTGCTGGTGTAGCTTCTGCTGCTGCTGTTGCTGCAGTAGCAGCTGTTGCTTTTCCGCGGAGCTGGACCGTGGGACGAGCAGCGATTGCACTCGGTTGTACCCACCAATAGCTGCAGACGAGTCATCTGTGTCCGCACTCGCCGATCGACCTTTCTTTCCTGGAAAGTTCTGCTTAAGAACTCCAGCGCCACTGTTGACGATGCCGGAGGACGCTCGGAAGAGTCGCGCGTGCTGCGGCGACACGTCTAAGAGAGACGTGCGACGAGAAATGGTCGGCTCTCGGTCAAAGGTAGGCTCGTCTGGCGTGCTGCTCGCGATTTGCGTTGATCCCTGAGGAAAGCTCATCCTGATTCTTGCACTGGGTGGCTTTTGAGTGTATGTTATTGAAGATGTTTTGATTGTTGGTTGAAACGGCGACTAAATTATTGTGCTGGCTCCTGGGGGTAGCGAAGGGATTGGGGTTGGGACCCTGACTGATTGAATCATGCGCAAGCGCACATGCTTTGGTATCGCTTCTACAAGCTTCTACATCACAAGGAACTAGCAATGGCGCCTGAAACTGACAAGCACGAGAGATGGGAAACTGACGCTATGGGAAGCCAGTCGCGGACCAAGGGCGTGGAACCATAAACTATTTCGACTTGTGGTAAAATTACTGGAAGCGAGAATCGTCTGCGACCTAATATTCCAGATTCAGCAAGCGTATACATGTAATGCATTTGAATGCCGTGTTTCCCCATAGTAATCGCTGCCAAGAGGGCGGCTGGCTGGCTGTACTACAGTCTCCTCTCCGCTATCTTGGAAGAAACGGCTGAGCAGGAGCAGAGGACATGTGCTGTGGACATGTGTGAAGGCGGTGGTTGTGGTGGCAACAGGGCGATTCATGGCCATGAAGGAGGGATGTGACGGGTCAGTGGGGTGGTGGTAGTTAATGCGTGCCGTTGAAGCTGGTTTTCTATACCCTTTTTTACCGTACTGGAAAAACATCTGACCGTTTTATGACGTAGCGAACCCTCAAAAATCATGTCCGCGTTTGGGAGACACGCTCAACAATTGTTCTCGGCAGAATTGAGGGAGGTTGGAGGAGCAGGTGGCCACAGGGAGCTCCACCTCCCATTCCCCGCCCTCCACCAAAACAAACCAGTCTGTGCACGCTGGAGTCACTGTTTGATTACACGTGGTCAAAGTGGCACTGTACACTTCGTCCACGGGCACCTCCATTGGTTGCGATTGACCAGCAAGCTGGCGAAAAGTCAGTGTAGCTATATATCCTTCGCGAACGTCAGAGTACCGTAACAAATATTTTCACTTACATTATACAATCCGAGATGTATTTTCACATTACAGTATCCACATTTATTCTCTATCTTGTATTGTTAATCACATAAACACACTTTCATATACGATGCAAGTTACTGCTAGGATTTTCAGCCCCTATGTTTACTGGGTCTGATGGAAAGTCGATTCGAAACAAACGTTGTTGGTTCATAGATATTATAACCTTTTTGTATTTTCGCATGGGATTTCATTTATGTATTATTGGAAAACAAATGAAATAAAAATGTCACGGACGCGTTATGGGAGGGAGCGGCAAGAGAAATACTGCCGTCTTGGGTAGGGAGGGAACGGCAGGGGTCGAGGGGCTATGGAAGGTGGCGAGGGAGTTTGGCTGGGGAAGGGGTTTTCTAAAAAAAAACAGCAGGAGTTCGGCAAGGGGGTCGGTCCCAAACGAACCAGCTGAAACTGGGGTGGGGAAACGGGTGAGATAAGAGATCATGGGGGGTTGGAAATGGAGGATAGGGGAGGGCTTACAAAATACCAAATGTAGACTTAGGACGCGGTAAAAGTAAACAATCGATTCTCAGTCGCAATCGATGTGCGGATTGGTTACCCTGTTTACTACCTTGTAACCATACTATAGTACGTTTTTTTGCCGAAAACGCTGCACAGGGAGGAGAGGCGACTGATTGTCGATTGCGGGAGATCACCCAAAAACTCAGGTGCGATCGTTAGAACGTCGCGATCGCCACGTTTCGCGAATGGAGCTGCCCACTCGATTGTGGGGCTCGATATTTGCAGACGATCCTGCGATATTTGCACTTTTACCGCGTCCTTAGCATAAATTGATGACTTGTTTCGGTTGTGCACATTCTTTCATTGCTTTTCCGTTTCCTACATGTTTCTTCTTTCCTATAATGAATTAGTCCATTCTCCATTCTCCCTTGGCACAACTCCGTAGACATGCTCCTAGCCCATTCTCCTAAGCCTAAGCACGTCCTAGGTTAAGATCGCATTCTAACATGGTATTAGAGCGTTCCTTATCTTACGACTGATTTGATTATGGGCCCACATGTTCTGGCCCCGTTCACGAGCAACCATCGCAACCTAATGCACGACGGTCTCAACGACCAAAGCGATGACCGCGGCGAGCTTCACGCTGGCCCCGTTCGTCGTCCCATCGCCCGCGACCATGCTTGCCTTGCCTGTCCTCCAGCTCGTCGTGAACCCCATCGCCCGTGCGTCACCCCGCTGGCTCGACGTCCCGCTTCTGCTCCCGTCCATCCCGATGCTGCTCCCGTCGGCACCACTGCTGCTGCCGTGATTACGATTGTCACGAGTGCGCACCAGCAACAGCAGCGCGTCAGCACGCGAGCAGCAGCGCTGAGGCACCACGCAAGCAGCTGCGCCTGATAGGGTGGTGGCTGCGAGTGGGGGAGGGGGGGTTGGATTAAGCCGTGCATTACGCCACTGCATCGCCACCCTCCACTCTCCTCTCTCTACCTGCAGCGATTATTGCTGTAGGGAAAGGGGGGAGGGTGAGGTGGTGACAGGGTTCAGTCGGCAGTACGAATGGACGCGCCCATCCTCTCCACCTCGTCTTATTTCTCCTCTCTCCTCTTATATATATCCACCTCCACCTTCTCCCTCTTGACCGCTGCACCTCCTCTCTCTCCCTTCTCTTCCTCCTTGTTTTCTCCTTACTACGGCGGCCTTTGCCGCTATGTGGGGGAGGTTTGGGGGGGAGAGGGAGGTTGGAGGGGGGTGGCCGCCGTGAAGCCACCAGCGCCAGCCGCTAGTGAACCCGTTGGACCAGTCGCCCGTGAGTTAGTTGCTCTAGTCGTAGTGGGCATGTTGCACCAGACGTATGGGCCGGTTACTCCAATTGCCATTGAGCCAATCGCTCCGGTAGCCAGGGTGCTTTTAGCTTTAGCCGCCGCCCATCACCTCCTCTCCTCTTTCCCACTGTCTTCCTCCTCCTCACTTCCTTCTCTTTGTACTGCGCCTTGATGTACCCCTTCAGAGGGTCTTTTGCACAAGGTTCTTCACTTTAGGCAGTTAGGGGGTGTGACAACATATAATCGTATGCGTCATTATAGAGCTGCATGTGCTGTAGACTTAGTGTAGTTTTTTGCCTTGTTTTGGTGGTCCACCGTTTTTCTTTGCTTTTTTGCTTCCTAAACGTTTATCCTTTCCTATAGTAAACCCCTCCATTCTCCATGCTCCCTAGGCACAACTCCCTCGACATGCTCCTAGCCCATTCACCTAAGCCAAAGCACGTGCTAGGTTAAGATTACCTTCTAACAAGGGCCGGGGAAAGGGGTGAGGTGGGGTTGTAGGGGGGGGGGGGGGGAACAGAAGTTTGAGGCTGCCGTAAACTTCCGAATAAAAGACCTGGGGGTATTATGTCATGCAAAAAAAAAAGGGGGGGGGTCAAAATAATAAGTTTATATTTTATAGGAGACGGGTCTTTACATTTTTTTTTTAGATACATATTTTTGAACACAGACGAGTGAATGGGAAGTGCTCCATTTTTAGCACCTAAAAAAAAATGTGAAATTGTCTCGACGAGGATCAAACATACGTCATCACGAAATCTAGATAGGAGCTTTGAATTTCCAGACCCTTGACCCTCGCTCAGTTCACTGCCAGCGTGTCCAGTCAGAATATGCTACAGCTCCAGTACCTCCAGCAACTGGGAAGAGAGGCGGTAGGGGCACGGGGGAACTGCGGTGGGGGTGGAGACGGTAGAAGCAGACAGACTCGTCAAAAGTGACGTCCTGGGAGGAGAGGAGACTGTCAGAATGTTATATTATCTAGCCTGCAGTGGGGTGCTCTGTAGCGAGTACAGCCCAGTTAGGGTTAGCTATTTGTATCCCAACTGCTGCTAGTGAAACCCCTCTTTTCTTGTTCTAAACTTTCTGCTCGTACTTTGAAATGGTTTCAGAGCAGGTCGATCCCCTTGGGTCGATCTTGTGGGTGGGCCCACCACCTAACTGCTTCCGCTGCTCTACTGCTGTCGCGTGCCCTGGGCGCGTGACCCTTTGTTCCTGCCGCGCGCCCGGAGCGCGCGGCGATTTTTCATCCCGCCGCGCGCTCGGGGCGCGCGGCGGTTCTCTGCCCGCCGTGCGCCCCGAGGCGCGCGGCGGTTTCCTACTGTGGGGGACCCGCGCGCAGCCCCCGCCCTGTCCGTCGCGCTGCCTTGGGGGACCCGCGCGCGCCCCCCCCCCCCTCGCCATCCCGTCACCCGGTGCGGCGTTCTGGG